AAATTAGGCATTCGTCGTCACCATTTGAGTACTATCCAAAACAATACCGACGCCGTGTCCGCGCAGACAATGTTGCGCAGTGTACGCCACGTAAAGCCACGAGAGGCAGATAGTAACGAGAATTGATATGCACTGTAAGTTATGTATCTGAAATCCAAGGGCATTTCAGCGTGTCCCCAAATGCTATAATAAAGTGAATACTGGATACTTGCTTTGTCTAGAGAAAAATTAACTTTAGGAAACGGGCGAGCCGGCCGCGTCGCGGCGGTCGCCTATTGTTTGCCGCCACCTAGCGGTAGCCGGCGCATAGTTATCGGGAAGCAATGACCACGAACAGCACAAGGGACAGTGTCCCCGTCGCGGTTACGACGGTGTTTAAAGCGGTTAGGAATACAGAAAGCTTCTTTTGTGATGCCAATATGACGAAGGGAAAACTCCTTCACGAATCTGGCAACGTGTACAACGTGAAGGAGGGAGGTCCGCTTCGATGGACAAGTGGATATCACGGCGCGCTGTACTCCGCAGTCGAAATAGAGCGCCCCCGCAAAAAACAAAAAACAAAAAAACGTCGAGCTTCGTGTAAGTACATAAGAGTTTTTTAGTTGGCGTTGAGTGGAACGCGCTAATGATGTACTTTATTGCTTTCTGAATCAGCTTGACAACAAACGCGCGATTGTTTTCGCGCCGTTCCGCGATTCCCAGCATTAATTTCTTCCTGTAGGCTGATGGAAACGTTCAAGGGTGGGTTGTAGCTTGGGTGGGCGACATCGTTCCGCTTCTCGTTCCCGGTGAAGTACTTGTTGCATATTTTAGAGTTTTCGGTGGGTGTTCATGCTGTTCATGCATCGTCGCTAGAAAACGTTAATCGTATTATTTTTCAGCTGCAAGGTGAGAAACGCCAGTTGCCTCGACGCAGAAGTCGCACCCATGCCGCGCGGCGCTCCGCCTCGCACGGCTTAAGGGAAGCCGTAAAACTTCGTGCCGTGCGCGTTCTTGTACGTACTGTCACAGCCGACCACGCAAAAACTGTTTTGGTTTGTTGTTGTTTTTTTTTGTGCGGAATAGCCATCTCAGAAATTACAGCGCTAACCCGCTACTGCCGCTACAACCAACGCAGCGACTGGCAGAAGCGGCAGAAGCTTCCCGCTGAAACCGACCCGTTTGCCGCTAGGGGCGCCCTGGGGGGGGGGGGGGGGGGGGGGCAAGTCCTTTTACTTTGGCGGCGTGCTCAGTATTGCCATTGACCTGTCATATTTGGCGCGAGGGGACATCAGGAATGATGATTGTTCATTACATTTCGCAAACACAGTCTCCAGGTTATTGCCGCGTGTGCTAGCGCCATCTTTCGGCGTGGTGTCTAGAGCGAGAACCTGTCGCCTTCAGACCCTTTGTATTCGTGCAGAGTGTGCGTGCTTCATAAGTAGAGGGTACTACTAGAATACTCGGTAGTGTTTGGACTGGCGCTACTCGACAATGGGAACTTGTGAGGCTGCGTGCGTAAAACAAGAATTGCGGCGCTGCAGTCGACAGGGCAGCAGAAACCCGCTGCAATCCGCACGTGCATATATATACTTTTTTTTTCAGGCACCAAGCATCGTGGGCGCGCTTCAGAAGACGCGCAGCTGACGAGAGTAGACGGAGCATGCCTACCCTGGCGCCATCTCCCGGGTAAATGAAGAAATGTGAGTAAAGTTACTAGCTTCACCACTGGATGGCGCCACCGGCCTGGCGCTCCCACAAAGAGCCTGCATTACAGAGTTTCTCACTGTTCGACCGGGATCACGTGGCTTATAAACCGCATTCGGAATAAGAGGTGGTGCCGAAAGCGTAGATAGCCTGCAAGCGTCTGCAAGCGTGTCCCCCTTTCCGCCTGCTTTCCTCCTCGCCACGTGAAAACGAAGCGCACGTGCAGCTACGACCAATATCCGCTGGAGGCGTCCACCATTAATTGCAATGGACACTTGGACACTACAAACTAGGCTCCCTACACTCGCGCTTCGCTGTACACGCACTTTCGTACGGTACGCTTGCAGGCAAAAGATTACGCTGGGGCCTGAGGCTGAAAAATCGATTATCCTCGAACTACAATGTTAAAACACGCCACTAGGTGGCGCAAGGGGTACTGTTCTCTTGTTTTCCTCATAGTTGCGCAGAGGAACCACAAGGTAGGTTACCATGAGTGTTGCCCGAATTCTGGAGCAGGTGTCACCACTTGTCTGCTTTAAAGCTTTCTAGAGCCTTCTTGATGTGATGGGAAGGAAGGCCCCAAACGGTCCCATTACACTTCAACCTCTTAATGTTTAAAGTGTGTTGAAAGACTTCTATCAAACAATTAATTCCAGAAAAAAGTGGTATCCTTCGGAAACGCCTAGTTCTCTCCTTTCTGCTTGCTCACATTCCAGATTACACTTTTTTTTTTTTTCACAACATTATATCACGGAAAGATGGTTAAAGGCGTGGGTTTAACGGTGAAAAATACTAACACCACCATCATTTCAGAGATGGGGTAGAGGTTGTCTCATTTCTGCAAAACGTCATCTCAGCAGTTAAAAAGCTACATACGAAATATGCCTACACAAATCAATCAGTGTGATTAGTGCAATGATGCAACATGATGCAGTGATCGCATGTTGTGGAGCAGCTACTAAGAATATTCTGGAACGGTGCAAGGACTGCAAGTTACGAAAAGACGAAGCTTACGACCTCAGCCATTAGCTAGGTTTCCCGTATGGAAACCTCTGAGGCGACAGAATGCAAATGGTATATAATAGCTAATATAATAGCTTCCTCACAAGCTCAAGTCTTATTGGTGATGATGGTTCAATATTGCTTGATCTGACAGCAATGAATGCGAAACTGGAAAGTTTCGCATGCTTACAACTCCGAATTTGCAAAGCTTCTCCACATATTTTATGCCTTCAAAAGATTATCTTGTTCAGAGGCAAATTTTAGGGGCGGAGGGGGGGGGGGCGGGGGGCGGAGGGGGGGAGTGCACCTTCCGTACGCCCCCCAAGAGCAACCTTAATTCTGTGGGAAAAACAACATACAGCAGCTTTTTCTTAAAAAGAAATGTTTAGGTTTTGGTGAGTTGGCTAATATACAAGCCTAAAACTATTAGGGTAACGTTTCCCGCATAATGTCAAATCTCCCGGCAGACTCCCCCAAGCCGAATGCTCACTGCACCCCAAAGCCTGACCCTTAAATCCGCTCCTGATCTCAATAAGGTATCCTGTGGATCCAATAATTGCCTTGCTAGAGCAGGCAAGTCGTGTGTTGAAAATGTACAATAAAACCTTTAATTTCTGTGCAGTGTGCAAACATCAGATGCTACTAAATTTACAGACACACGAATACATGGCTTTCACTGACGTCACATTGTGTACTTTGGGCCGCCGTTAAAGAGAAAGAAGCTGCTTCTGTAGGAATTTTGAGTGACGAGTAAATCTTCTATAATCGTCTGACAGGAGAATAGCAACATCTGGGCAAATCTGAAAGACACAAAAGAGCGCCTTTGTAAGAGGGGAGCTCCTTCTTCCCCTCTTCTCTAGTGACCAATAAATGAAAGTCACGTGCAAGCCATGTATATCCTTGATACTAGTGGCTTAGGCAGGGGGGCGGTTTGGGGGGTCCAAACCCCCCCAAAGCCATCGAGCCAGCCAAAGGGGTTGGGAACGGTCGTGTCCGTATCCGTGAATTGTACAGTATATCGACTACTCACCAAGATAAGAAAAAAAAAAAGCACTCCCCTCCCCCCTTGTAAATAATTCCTGGCTACACCACTGCCTGATACACACGCAACGCTTCAAAACCTGCCAAAGCTCAAGCATTTCAGGGTCGAAAATCTAGAGCTTACGACTCTGATACAAAAGAGCAACAAAGACGAAAAATGTGCACCCCATTTGCACTAGTTTCCATATCACAGTTTTAGATATTTGCCAACTTGCACAAACGATTGCTGTTACCTCTGTATCCGTGGAACATTCCGAGTCACAGAAGTAAGGGGTTTTACTGTATATTAACAAATGTCCCTAGCGACATTTTAAAACCTGGACCTGTATTGTTCGAGGCTCCACTGTTCTGATTTGGCGACGTTTGACAGCTACCTTGCTGTTAAACCAGAAAGACAAGGTACTGCAGTGGACAAGGGGGTTAGATTGGATGACAACATTTTAAGCCTCGTTTAAAGGGATGGTAAACCGAAATTTGGATTTCGAAAATAAAATGTTGGAGATGTAGGCGGGGCGTTACAATCCTACAACACTACTAGTAAGGCGATATCTTAAATGGACGGCCGTATTTTTGGAAAAAGAAGTCGAGATTGAACCAGGCCGACGAGGCGCGTGACGTCAAGATACCTAGTTTCCTCCTCTCTTCGCTTCGCTTCGCTCCCTCAAGGCCGCGAGGCGGAGAAGACGCGAGGCCGTTTTCTCTCTTTCTCGGAAAAACATGACGTCAACATTCCTGCCAAATGCGCCTCTTTTTTTTTTTTTTTTAAATACGGTCATCCGTTCAAGATATCGCTGTATGAGCGATGTTTTGGTGTTCGTAGCATCCCGTTGCACGCTTTTGCCGTGTTTTTTGGGGAATCCAGATTTCGGTTCAGCATCCCTTTAAGCGGTTTTAAGGCACACGGTCGTAAGCAGTCCTTGTGCATTAAAACTGCCTAAAATCTTACGACAAGAGAACATGTTGGCGCCATCTATTGGGTAGGCAGGGAACACTTGGAATCTCCGTAAATTTCCCATTTTGTTTTTGCATCATTCTTTCTTAACCTGAACAACTTTTGACAATGTTGTCGTAAGTAACCACAAGTGTGTGAACGGGCATTTACTTGCCCGCCGCTGGCACAAAGATTATGGCATGCATGTCGTAACAGTCGAGAAACTCAATAGCTACCGAACACTACACGTACGTCGCAACAGGGAAGCGTCATCATTTTTGAGATGGCGGAATGAAGACGAAAAGCGTCTAAAGTTATGTACAAAAAACAAGACAAGGAGTATGTCAGTCTTGACGCATTTACAACCCCAACTTTGTCGAACCACCACAAACAACAAGAGGCGTCTCACGTCGATGACGCGGAAGCCTGTTGCTGCTGCTCCGACGGCACAAACAGCCTGATGTGGATCCCCGAGGTCTGTCGGGTTTGCGTGAATGGCTCTAGTTCGTCCAGCTGCGGTTCCACGTCGTCCACGACATCCACCGTGGAGGTCCGAACGTCCAGTTCCACGAGCCCCTGGAAGTGCGTCTGGATCTGCAGGGCCAGGTTGATGGCGCGGCTCACGGCTGCGCCCATGGCGTGCACAAAGACTTCGGTCTTCCCGGAGTCCAGCAGCTTGCGACAGCGCTCCAGCTGAGCCTTGAAGTTGGTCGAGGTGTTGACGTAGACGTCGGTGTCTCTCCTTGGGAGCCGTGTCGGCTGCCTCTTGCGAAGCTGGTACTCATCTGGATCGAACCTTGGTCGTCCACGTGGTCGTTCGGGCCCGGGGGCAGGATTCATCTGCAAAGTCATAATCGTCCATTTCGCCACATGAGCGTCATGCTATCCAGTGTTGCTATCACACATTTAGTTTGGTGTTTCACATTAATGATGTAGAGTGTGTCCTACTTTACATTACATAAACTGTGCAACACAGTTAGTGGAAACATGACATCAGTGCTTTTTCGCAGTTTACTCAGACATTTGCTGCTTGGGCTCGAGCACCAAATGAGCAGTTTAGGTCGCACTAATGTTTCTCTTCTCATAACAACCTTTCCCAATAGACCCTTTTCAAAAGTGTGTGCCATCTAACGGCTGCTGCGCTGATTATCCGAGTAACGTACACCGAGTATGTATTCGACACGACGGCTGCATTAGCGATCAGCATGAACCTAAATCCGATCACACGCTTTGTGCCCATGAAATGGCGACCACCGATCTTCCTCGATGGGGTTTTGGAAAGCGGCTATCCTAAAGAAAGAACAGAAAACACCAGTGATTGTACGTTTGGGCAACATATATCACCCTTTGTCTGCATTACTGTTTGCTTGCAAGACACAGGACAGAAGTGCTGCTAAACAAATTAGTCACTCCTTTGAACGATTTGTTTGTGATAGGTCAAAGGATAAACAACCAATTGGAGGTGGACTGCGCTAGTTTTCAGTCAAACAGTTCATGAGGACTGTTTGGGTACAAGTGTGCTAATTACACGTAACAGCTACTATTATGTGAGCGAGCCCACGTCGTATAAAGTCAGAGTCGACCACGAGCCCCCCTCGATGGGCCCCACAGTCTCCCCACCACAAGAACGCAACGCCAACCCACCAGCTCACCGTGCTCACTATGCTTCCCAAACCTTTCCCTCTCGCCCGTACGCTCTCACCACCGCCATCTCAAGCTCACTATGCTTCCCAAACCTTTTCCTCTCGCCACCACCATCTCAAGTGTCTCCCCTCCGCATTCCCAAATAGCTCCTCCCGTCTTCCTCGCTCTGCTCTCATGCTGTACCAACGCCTAGCCCGCGGCTTACTTCGCTTTGTGTGACAGACCGCCTTCGCCTTTAGCCCTCTTAATATGTAATCCTCTAAGCTCTTCAATAAAGTCACTAATTATTACTTCTATGCCCAGCCTCAGCCCTGCCGTGCCTCACAATTACTACACAGATTAGCATTACTCAGCATCACATTTTATTAGTATGCAAGCCAAGGCTTGAATCCTTGAAATTTGTAAACTAGCATTAGCATCATCAAACCTGCTTGTGCAAATTTGGGGTTTTGAGAAATGACTGTTCCGAGTACACACGGACGCCTAGTTACATTTAGGACAATGCAGTAGTTGCTACTGTTATGTAACCGGAAGCAGTAAGCTCCACTCTTTTAAGCTGCCTTCACAAGTATTCTGCCATGCTGAAAGAAGTTTACCAGCCATAAATTACTGAATAACACGGGCACGGAAGGCGTAGGCTCAATGTATCTTTACCTTGATATCTAATGTTTATCACGAAGATGCAAAACACTCGGGCTGTCTCAGCCATTTCGAAATCCGGGTGAGCAGCCTTGTCTAGGGCCAGAGTATCGGGCAGCACCTTGCGCTCGGTACAAATATAAGGTAACGTTTCCTACTCGCATGATGCTGCGTGTCGCAATGCGTGATTACAATAATAGTGCAAATATCGGACGAACGGCACCGTTAAAATATGGCCACAACGCAGCAAGTAGTCACTGCCCCGCACGTGTTTCACCACCGTGCTTGCATGGCTAAGATATTAGTCGTTTTCGCAAGAGCAAGATTTCAGTAGGTAATTTCACATTTACCCGGCCTGAGGGACGCTGCGCTAGGCGCTGATGAACCTGGAAAACAAACGGCGAGCAGGTTGAGGTTGAAGCAGCAGCTATCAGCGCTCAGCAAAGCGCTACATATCGCGCAACGCTTCCCACAAGGAGGCTGCCATGTTCTTGATGCTTGCGCGATAGCTGCGCCCAGATCGCAGGAGCTCTATGCCTCTTCTCACGTTTATTCATAGTTTCGGTTTCATTTCGGGATTCGCAAAAGGAATCTTAACTTCGCTGTGGGAGTGTTAGATTCACTTGTACTGTATATTTGCATTATCTTCATGTATTTTCGCCTCTCACCTACCTGTTTGTGCAATTTTAAAAAAAACATAATAAATATGGGTCTCGCATCGTGTGTGCGTGCATGAATGAATTCGTGCGCACGCTCTCACATTAGTGAAAGCACCGCATTTTAGTTCGCTCCAGAGAATTTGTGGTGTGATGAACATTTTACAATACAATTTTAATGCCCTTTTACTGCTCGTGCCATAACACTGCAAAAGTATTAGCGGCGAGATGTTTCGGTGGCGCCCTCCTATGGTTCCCCCTTGTGACGTAATTACCTTGCGAACAACACGTTCGATGGTGTTTGTAAATAGCATGGTGAAAGCCTGAAATCATTGCGCTCTCAAAGCAACACTGCCAACACCGTTGAAATTAAAGTTCTTTTATTCCTCTTATTTCCGTCGATGGTATACCCTTTCCGACGTCATAGTCAGCTTTTGGGCCAATCGTGGAAGGCCAACCACAGCGACGCTTTCGGTCGCGCACGTCGCCAATAGACGATTGCAAGCTGGGCGACTGGCCGCCGCCATGTCTCTGCTCGAGCAGGCACGCCCGTGCGATTACGAGCTTGCCAAAGCTATGTTCACCCGCGCGTTGCACGCGCCTGCACGCATGGGGCACCACTTGTAGCGCCATGCTTGCAATTGTCTATAGTAAGAGCGAATCAGCTTTCGCGTGTGGCCAAGTGCAAGCTCCTGCTGTTGCTGCCGTCTCAGCACACCTATATTTCATTGAAGTCGTCGTCCAACACACGCACAACGAGATTTGACGTGACGGGAGACCTGTTTACGTGCGCGCCGGGACACCGGAACCGGAAACGTTAAAAAAGGGCGGGAGATGGCGCCTCGGGGCCTATCGGAACGCTCGGAACCAACGCGCTCGGGCGCAGATGCCGAGAGTCTGGAGCTCGCTGACTTAAAGGGGCGGTGCAACGATTTTATGATTAAAAGAATTTGCATCTCGTCATTTTTACGTTGTTTATCGTGTCCGAGAGGATAGAGAAAACACTTCCTTCATTAAAAATGTCGCGATTCCGCTGCATAATCGCAAAGCAAAAGTCGAGCTTTTGCCCCCACCTGCAGCCCCAAGTTGCAGCCGAAGGAACTACTGCGGAAAGATTACGTGACCTCGCTCGGCTCTAAGCTGCAGCATAACGCCCGCTAATGTACGCAGAGAGAGGGAGGGGAAGCGTCCTCCGAGATAGCACACGGGAAGCTACACGGCACTCCGAATGACGTCACTGGGAGTGCGACCAGGTATGACCCTGAAGACTGGGAGTGAGTTGAGGGGTGCCCGAAATGCCCATTTTATCTTTTTTTTTACGCAACAACTAGGACACGCAGCCGAAATCGGTTTTCTGTTCTTTACTTCAGAAGTGTCAGGGGGCAACTTCCAGAAATCTTTGACCGAAGTCCGAAAATCGTTGCACCGCCCCTTTAACGCGCCCCATGATAAACTCTGCTACCTTTAAAATACTTTTATTTTGAATCGCGCCTGTGGAAGCTCCTTGGGGAGCGACCACCCTGTTACGAAAGGGTCTTTGGGGTTTTTGGTGAACCTGACAGCTAAATACAGAATACATGAATAAAAAGTAAGGGCGCAAACGAGCTGGTGTACATTGCACATGGTTGAAAAAAAACCCAAAGACCCCTTTTTTTTGTGTGTGTTAATGGGTTAATGAAGGTTTTCGGGTAGAGAAAACGTTAAGTCGTTTGTTTTTTGTGCGTGTGTGTGTGTGTGTTAATGGGCTTAGGCTTTCCAGTGTGTTTGGCGGTCGGGTAGTGAGGGGTCAAAGATAAGAGAGGTGCATGACGCAGAGCCCGTTTTCCTTGTATTTAGTTAAAGGTTACATTGGTGGAAAGTGGCATTCTTTGGGGTTCTCACCCTCTCCCCCTTTTTTTCTTTTGTGTCGTAGTGCCTATATAACCAGATTTCGGAAAATAAAAATTTCAGCTGTGTTAGAGACTTTTTAGTGTTGTGTCGTTTACCCGCAGTCTCGGGTTTTTTTCAACCATGTACAGAATACACTCGGAATTATCGTATATCATTTAACTTTTGCACGTCATTCTTTTGTTATTGGCTTGAAAAAAAGCTTTTTGACGATATTATAACTGACTGTTTCCCATAGGTAGTACGCAACATTTGATCTCCCAAATACCGCAAAACCTTCGTTCTAGTGAAATGCAGTTCCAGGGCGACCTCATAGAGGGCGCCAGCGTGCTGGTGTGTTCTTTTGTTGTAAGTGATCACACGAACTGGGTCATAAACAAACGAAAGTGTGTGAACCAGACTTCAAACGCAAATGTGTAAACCAGCATCACCATTTACAGGTATTCATGTGGCCAAATTTATGTGCTCGAACGCGTCTGCCTCTCTGCGCCGACTGTCGTCGAGCTTTGGCGTATTTAGGGGCCGGTCGGGAATCAACTAGCGATGACGTCATCCGCAGGCCTTGTCTTCTAGGGCTCAAGCCGCCTATCGACCGCGCAGCATACACGAGAGGTCGCGCGAAGCAAAAACAAACTTCCAGCGTAGATTATAATTGTCTCATTTGAATAAAGGTGTTTGAGAACTGTCTAACGATATCTCGGGAATAAATTAGCAGGCTTTATATCCCACTCCCTCCTTCGACGTATATGCGAAATTACGAGAGGGAAATCGTCTCCGGGAGCGGGGAACGGGGTGCAAGCACCGGGTCGATTCTAGTTCGCCTGGCAAACGTGGAGAGTGATAAAGCCAATCCAATCCACAAGACAAGCGCACTCGACAAATTAGCCAATCAGGGAGTGTTTGGCGGTTCCGTCGTCTTTAACGATCTTCTCTTCTGCTACTCCGAGGTTCGCTTCTTGGATGGCGTCTGCCCTTCAGAAATGGGTGCACATGTTTCTAATTGTAATTGAATTA